GGTTTATATAATGCGGCAGGTTCATGGGTGACCTCCGAAAAAGAGGTCGAACAAGTTGCAGTGGGATATTTTGAGGACTTGTTCACTACAACCTCCCCATTAGAATTTGAATCAGCACTTGGAGAAATTCAAACTCGAGTCACAGAGGAGGATAATGCCATGTTAGTGGCGGAGGCAACAGAAGATGAGGTGCACAAAGCTTTGTTTATGATGAACCCGGGAAAGGCTCCAGGGCCTGACGGAATGACAGCATAATTTTTTCAAAAATCATGGCAGATAATTAAAACGGATTTACTTGGGTTAGTAAATGGCTTCTTGGAAACAGGGATCTTCGATCAACAACTAAATATGACTAACATATGTTTAATTCCTAAAAAGGACAGGCCAACTCGAATGACGGAACTGCGACCAATAAGTCTATGCAATGTTGGATATAAAATAATTTCTAAAGTTTTTTGCCAAGGGTTAAAGAAACTATTACCCGATATTATTTCAGACACACAATCGGCTTTCGTCGCGGGACGCTTGATCTCGGATAACATTCTGATTGCACAGGAAATGTTCCATGGGCTCCGCACAAATAAGTCTTGCCAAGATAAATTCATGGCAATTAAAACGGACATGAGCAAAGCCTATGACAGGATCGAATGGGATCTCATAGAGCATCTCTTGAGAAAAATGGGATTTGCGGAAAGATGGATTACCTGGATGATGTGGTGTATAAAATCAGTACAATATAAAGTTCTTTTGAATGGGCAACCTAAAGGAAGAATAATTCCACATCGGGGACTCCGACAAGGGGATCCCTTGTCCCCATATTTATTCATTTTGTGTACGGAAGTCCTGATATCTAATATAAAGAAGGCAGAACAAGACAAAAAGCTGACCGGATTGAAAGTAGCCCGATCAAGCCCTTCGATCTCACACTTGTTATTTGCGGATGACAGCCTTTTCTTTTGTAGAGCAAACAAGGAGGAATGTCAGCAGATACTGCAGGTGCTCCGCCAATATGAGAACGTTTCGGGTCAACAAATAAATTTTGACAAGTCGTCAATACAATTCGGGCATAAGGTCTCAGACATAGTGAAAAATGAGATGAAACAAATTTTAGAAATTCACAACATGGGGGGAATGGGCTCATATTTAGGATTACCGGAAAACCTTGGGGGAACAAGAAGCAAGATCTTCCAGTTTCTAGCTGACAGACAACAGGACCGCGTAAACGGATGGACATCCAACCTTTTATCAAAAGGGGGAAAGCAAGTACTAATAAAATCGGTGGATTCCGCTATGCCAACATTTGTCATGTCATGTTTTCGCTTACCAAAATCAATTACCACAAAGTTAACTAGCATCACGGCAAGATTTTGGTGGAACACGAAAAGGTCAAGGAAGGAATGCACTGGATAGCATGGCCAAAGATGTGTCGTCACAAATCGGTGGGGGGCATGGGCTTCAGGTCGCTAGAGAGTTTTAATACGGCACTGTTGGCAAAACAGTTATGGCGATTAATAGAAAAGCCAGATACGCTATTCGCGAGAGTACTCAAAGGACGATATTATCAGAATGCAGGTCCAATGGACAACATAAAGTCATATTCCCCATCTTACGGATGGCGAAGTATTATCTCAGCTCGATCTCTGGTTAACAAAGGGCTAATCAAAAGAGTTGGTTCTGGATGTTCCACGTCGGTTTGGAAAGATCCCTGGATACCATCTTCTCGCCCCAGATCAGCAATATGTGAGGGTTATAATTATTACCCAAATCTCATGGTTAATCACCTCATTGATCCACAGACTAGTACTTGGAATATGGGGCTCTTCAATGCTATTATAGATCCAAAAGATGTGGAAATAATACAAGGGATGCCCATCAGCGCTTCATTTTGGCCGGATGTACTGGATTGGCACTTCACAAAATCAGGCAAATACATGGTCAAATCTGGATACCAAATTGAACATCAAAACTCGGAAGCAGAAACACAAAACCTATATGGACCTACTTTCGAGCCCCTATTAGTAAAACTATGGAAACTGAGGTGTCCCCCCAAATTACGCCATTTTCTATGGCAAGTACTGTCATGTTGTCTGGCTGTTGCCAAAAACCTGAACAACAGAGGAATCAAATGTGATGCGCAATGCAGTAGATGTGGGGCAGAGGAGGAAACGGTCAATCATGTTTTATTTGAATGTCCACCCGCAATGCAGACGTGGGCTTTGTCACAGATCCCAACACCTACGGGAGTTTTCCCAGGAAGATCTATTTATGCAAATTTGGATTATTTGTTTTGGCGTACACCAACAGGAACTTCTAATGAATCATATCCATGGATAGTATGGTACATTTGGAAAGCAAGAAATGACAAACTATTCTCAAACATAGACAGAGATCCACGATTAACGCTTAAACTAGCGGAAACGGAAAGCCTTTTATGGATTGAGACACAAAACTCGGTAACTGAAACGGAAACACAACATCCTCAATTGCCATCACACCCGACCTCCTTTAATAATGGATGGTGTTCGGTGGATGGTTCTTGGAAGGAGATGGATAAAACATCAGGTATAGGATGGTATTATAGGAGAGAGGAATCCATGGGGGCACAGAATTTACGACGAAGTTTATCTCCTTTACATGCAGAAGTAGAGGCACTATTATGGGCAATGCTGTGCATGATTGAAAATCAGCGAAGAAAAGTAGTTTTTGCAACAGACTGTTCTGATGTGGTGAAGATGGTGTCGGCACCAACGGAATGGCCAGCATTTGCACATCAACTGGGGGAAATCCAGAAATACAGAGAGAAGTTCCTTTTTTTCAAACTGATACACATACCACGAGCGAAGAACACCAAGGCAGACGCATTAGCTCACAGCGCTAGAGTCTATCCAGGGAATATGATTTATGTGAACTCATCTCCACCGGTTTGGTTAACAACTTCGGTTTAGGAGAAGAGGCTGTTGACAACAAAAAAAAAAAAAAAAAGATTCTCGTCAAACGCACGGGTTTAAAATCTAGTACATATTAATTAAACAAAACCAAAAAAACAAATATACAAATAGGTTTACAAAAAAAAAACAGAAGTCTACCATAAGGACAAAACTAGAAAGACGTACAACACTGCAAACATAAGTCTACCAAACCGCTGGTTTTTCGTAGATATGAGAATACTTTTAGGACAAAAAAGTAATTCTGAACTAAAAAGTCAAATGTCTGCCAAACATTAACAACTAAGTCTACTTCAAGCATGGTAAATAACTCTACCATAGAAACAAGTCTACCATAAGCATATCATATGTCTACCAGATCGAGGTTATCTTTGTAAATACCAAACTTAATTAATCTACCACATGATCCTTATAAGAAGTCTATCATACGTACAATAACTCTACCAGATTACATAAACTCTACCAAACAAGCAAACAAATCTACCAACATTCTGTAAGTCTACTTCATGTAACAAATAATCTACCACTTACCGGAAGAAATTTTATTTTAATTTAAATATACCACAAAACAAACATATCTACCACAAAACAAACAAATCTACCAACATTCTGTAAGTCTACCTCATGTAACAAATGATCTACCACTCAGTGGAAGGAATTTTACTTGAATTTAAATCTACCACAAAACAAACATATCTACCATAAAAGCAAAAAATCTACCAACTAGATATAACTCTACCATAAAACAGATATATCTACCGTCACGTATTGATAACTTTTTTCACATAAATCTACTGCCAAAGGACATAAGTCTACCAACTCAGAAATAAAATCTACCTCATTGTCAATAAATCTACCGACAAAGTCAACTATGCGAGAAAGTCAACGCTTTCTTTAACAAGTCTACCAACACGTTTGACAAGTCTGCCATTCATAACAACAAATCTACTGAAACATAATAAATCTACCTCTCATTCTACCAAGATAAGTCTACCAGCATTGGTAAAATCTACTAATTCTCGAATAAATCTATCATCGACCTAATAACTCTACCAACAAAATTTTTGCGTTGACCAGAATTTGATAAGTCTACCGTCAAAGCCTGGTAGACTTATCAAATTTTCAGCGCTATTTTCTGCTTACGTGGCATTAAAAAAGTAATGGCATTTTCGTAATTAGGTTTTTTTCAACAAAGGCGAAAAGGGTGTTTTGGGTATGCTAGGTTAGTTTTGTAAAAAAAAAGTGCGCTAAACAAGCAATATATATACTTTCTAAGGTTAGTACAGTAATCCTCCTATATATTGTACTAGTTGTCCTTTTATCTCTTAGTTGTACCATTCGTACCAGTTATCCTCCTCTGCAGATTTGGTGATGAACTGAGGTATAATTATAATTTACCTAAGAATCACTATGATTCAACGATTATATTTAAAAAATTATCCATGCAAATACCTAATCGTCACATAAAATTGGGTTACCAACCTGATTTCCAATTATAATAAAAGAAATCAACAATTATTTAAGTCGTCTTAGTTATACCTATTTGTACCAGTTGTCCTATCTCATAGTTGTACGAATTGTACTAGTTGTCCTCTTATCTCTTAGTTGTACCATTCGTACCAGTTGTCCTCTTCTGCAGATTTGGTGATGAACTCAAATTTTAATTCAACAACTATATTCGATAAAACTGGGTTACCAACCCGATTTACATACTGAACAAGCAATTTTGGCAAATCCAATCTCTAAATTGTGAAATCCCTAAATCTCTTAATAAAAATCTAATTAGGTTTTGAAACTTCAACAATGGTGGTGGAGAGAGGAGATAAAGATAAGAAACTAATTGCAGAGGATGAATAGACAAAGTTTGGATGATGAAGATATGATTTTGGTGATTTTTGGAATCTATCGTCGAAACGTCGATGATGAAGATGAGAGAAAAAAAAATGATAATTAAAAAAAAAGAATTAAAAAATTAAAAGAAATTGTTGGAAAAAAAAAGAAAGAAAATTTAGATAATTGATAAATAAAAAATAAAATCGATTAGTGGGTGCCTAGATGGGTCTGAAATTGGATGGATATGACTCTGGTTTTATCTATATTAGTATTTGTGAAGTGAATTCTTCTGTGGTTTAACGCACACTTTTTGATGTCGTTTTGATTAATGATACCTTTCTTTAATCAAATGTCTATAGACATCTAGGCTCGATTAGTGGGTGCCTAGATGTCTATATCTTAGCCTTTCAGATACATACCCTTATTATATATTAATCTATGAATGTTTTCAATTTTTATGTAGACATTGATTCTTCGTATCATATATCTATTCTTGATCACGAGCTTTTTATCAAAGGAGGTATTTCTGCTCTTAATGTAATATATTTTTGTTAATGGTGTATATTAAGTCTTTATGTTTGTTCTAATGTTTGTTTTGTGCATTTAGGTTCTGATCGTGTTAATACGAGTGATCATGCTCAGAAGACTTTTCTATAGGATTTTGCGAGGAATGCTTGGGTTATGAATAAAGAATCTAATGGTTTCAGTTCTTTGTTTTTTGGTTTGAACACTGTTTTTTTTTTTAGAATACTAATTACACCGTTTTTACATATATTTATCTATGCAGAAGATAGTGACTCTGATGATACCGAGGTTTTATCGGGTCGTGGTACTGATGATGATTATGGTTTTGAGGATTATATGGGGTCTGATTCAGAGACGGGTGAAGATACTGATGATATGGACCAAACAGATGAGTATGATTCTGAGGATGATTTTATTGACGACGATGAGACTTGTGAAGAATCTGATGGTTCAAGTGATAGCTCAGAAGATGATAGCGGTGATGACGAAGATGAAGATGGTGACGATGCCGATCCAACTGATGATAATGAAAATGATGATGAAGATGTTATGTTGGATGATGAGACTGATATTGACGATGATAGTGAAGATCAGAGAAACGTCGAATTGAGTGATATACTCATCGAAAAGAATATTAGTATATCTGGACACCAGGATTCGGTGTGTACTTATACAGTTTCTCTTGGTTCAATGTGTTTTGGTAGGTGTGTTTCATGTTTGAGTCCTTCCAAAGATGGTTGTACTATCTTTGTTAAGGTTTTACAAACGTGGGTGCATATGCTAATTTCGAAACGTTCTTCCTTGGAGCTCATATTGTCGGATGAACAGGTATTTATTGTACTATTACACAAAAATATTCTAAATTTTTGTCGGTGTCTAATTGACTGTTTTATTCACAGGGTGTAAAAATTCAGGCCACTGTTAGTGATGGTGAGATCAGTGTTGCATCGTCTCGCATAGATGTTGGTAGTTGGATTATTATCAGTCGTTTTTCTGTTATCGATTGTGAGGATAGTTGTAGACCGACTTCTCATAGATACAAAATATTGTTCCTACCATCAACTATCATTGACAAGACTTCACGTAGATGTGAAAATGCCTATTTTGACTTCGTTGATTTTCAAAGGATATTGGATCGTGCCCATGATGATGACTATTTAGTTGGTGTGTTTATTTTTGATTTAGTTATTGAATTTCGTTATTATTATCTTACTGATGTTAACATCGTTTAATTTTTGTTGTCTATGAAGATTTGATAGGTCGTGTCTTAAATGTAAGCAACGTCCTGTGGTTTACTGACTGGAGAGCATTCTTTTCCTTCATATGGCAGTCTATGTAATGATATATGTGATTCCGAGATATGGGGTTCATATTCAACCGTCACGTTCTGTCTTAGAGATAAACGGTACTGTCTGCTGAATGTTTTAAACTGTATAATGTCGTTTTAATTATTCTATCCATCTGAATATGTGTGGCATGTTTTAATTTAGTGGTGTTGATTTGAGTTGTGAATTGTTCGGTGAGATGGCGAAAAACTTTTATGTATCTTGGAGACGCTGTGATCAAGATATCATTGTGTGTGTGCTTAGATGGGCCGTTATTGATTATTTTGGAGGTATTTTTAGTATACTAATTTATATTCTCTATGTTCGTTTTGTTTTATTGTTTTGACTCTGTATTTGTTTTATCAACATAGGCAAGATCACTATATCTTCCACATCTCCTACTAAGTTCGACTCAATCCCCGTATTCCAGAGTTAGATGAGTTTTTGGAACAGTGAGTTTCTAATACTTAATGTTTGTATTTTGACTTTTTAGTATTAATTTGTGGTCGCCTTCTCTCTCTCAAATCTTTTTTATAACAATGCAGATATCCGCGTAAGAGGCCATGCACGCGTGGTAGTGTGGCACGTCTATATTGAATAGTGCTATGACGTCTACATTGAATATCATTTTAAAAAATGATTTACCATGTATACAAATTATAGTTTAATTATTCTTTGTTCTTCAGACCTCTTTATTTCAATCAATAAATATATTTTTTTAATGTAATTATTATTGTTGTTTGATATTGAAGTATAGAAAGCGGAGAAAATAATATAAGTTATATATTCACATAAATAACGCATGTTTTTATTGGTTTCTTGGACTCCTCATATTTATAAATATTTAAGAGGATTCGAATATATCCCCGATCATATCACAACTTTTAGTTTTTTCCATTTAGTGTCTATGAAAATCATGGTGTTTGAGTGGATTATTTTATTGATTTCTTGGACTCCAAGTAACTCATATTTATAAATATCTAATAGGATTCGAATATATCCCCGATTATACCACAACTTTTGTTTTTTTCATTTAGTAGCTATGAAAATCATGGTGTTTCAATGAATTGATTAATTACTTATTAAAAAGGAAAAACTCGGTAGTTGAGAGGTGTATAAAATGTAAATAAAGGAAAACATTCTAAGAAACCCTAGAAAAAAATAAACAACGTGTAAACCACATAATTCTTATATCTCTATATATATGCATATATTTCGGTATAGGTATATATATGCGTCTATCGCGACTTCACGGGTTATCAGTCTGCATTGTTAGAATTGTTTGCATTCGGGTTCTTCGATGAAAGCGTTTGGTAAATGAGTTTTGTATTACGTTTTTGAGGATGTTACTAATCGTTAGTTTTCTTTACGGTATTCTATTGTTGTTATTGTATATATGATTGTTGTTCTATTGTACATGTCTAGGTGCTCAAAGGCGACCACGTGTTAATTGGCAAGTTATGCCGTTCATCTCCCGGGGGAAAATATTGTGTTTTCTAATAATTTAGATAGACGTGTTGCTGCTAGAAAACCTAAATTCCTTGCTTGGTTTAGGTGTGATCAGTCTTATCCAGAGGCAAGGAATCTTTTATACTCGGAGATTCCTTATATGTTTGTATGGGATCTTAAAAATAGGACATGGAGGCCAAGACTAAAAGGAAATTCTGGTGCTTGTGTTGTGGACGAATCGCCGACTGAGTACGGAGAAGAGTATTATCTGAGGCTATTATTGGACATAGTTAGGGGTCCACGTAGTTTTGATTATATTAGGACTGTTGATGGAGTCGTTTATCCTTCGTTTAGAAGTGCGTACCATGCATTAGGGTTCGTTGGTTGATTATCAGAAGACAGTAATTTTTTACCATATTTTTTTTTAGTTTCTTTATCGTGGTATACTTATTTCTTATTTTAACAAAAGCAATATATAATAAATGATATTAGAATAATTATATATATCAGTTTTGTTATACTAATAAAGTTTAATTATAACATATTATTATTCCGTTTTTCCGTAATCTTATCGTTGCTTATATTTTATCAAATTAAAATAAAATAACTATATATGATACGCCGTATATATAGAGTTGTTTATCGGTCGGTGTATTTGTGATCGATAACTCATATCGTTGCTTTTCTTTTACCGAGTTCGAGTATATAATAGATGGATCATGCGACGTTAACAGTTGTGTGGGTAAGTTGTGTGTATTACGTATGTTCTTGTGATATGACACATATTATGTTTTGTAAGTTATAAATCGCTATAGTGTTGACTTGCCTTTTTATGTTTTTATCGTTAAGACCTAATTGGACGTGTTATGACTGTTGGAAACTACGTTGATCCACAATATCCTTTTGAAAGCTACATGATGAACGAGATATATATCGAATTGGAGAATCAGAGGTATTGTGTATTATCATACTGTTTTAGAATTCAGAGCTACTTATTTACAACCAATTTTCCGCTTATTGTTTTATTTTATAATTATTAGAAGATGTTGTCTACCATGTCGTTTGGTTGGTAATTTTGGTCGAGATTTTCTCGATGGTTTGACGCATTGTGATGATGATATGATAGTATGTATCGTTCTAGCTGCAAAAATTGATATCATTCGAGGTATTCTAAGGCTGGAATTTATGATACTTTCTCAAATATATATATAACTATATTAAAACTATAAGTATTTGTTAAGTTATTAATTATTTCAAATTTTTTTTTTTGGTGATATTAAGGTAATTGGATGGCTGTAGCGGCTCCTAATTACAGGATAATGTTGCCACCAGCTATTCCTGAAGTAGTACGTCTCCGGGAGGCATTGGTGTCAACCGATCAATATTGACTTCCATTCCACGAATACATAAATCTTGGAATAACAGCCTATGAATTTTTTTATATCGTGTAAAACTACATTGCAGCTTTTTAGTTTGTTATTTTTTATTTTCTTCTCATATGAATTATCTTATATATCTCTGCGTGTGTGCGCGATTTTTACAATATATTATAGTAATTGTTCATTTTATATTTAGACTAATAATTGTTCTTTCATGCAATATATTATTTAAGAATTATAAATGTTATATACAGAGGATAAATTATACAAATGATAAACCGTAAAAATATTTTGATTGATCGCATTTTATCTAATTTATTGTTACACTTAATTATTGATATGTATTATCGTTTTTAGTAACTTAAACATATCGTTTAGGAATAATTCCTTAAATTGTTTGTCTAAATCGCTAATTATTTATCTATTAAATATATTTTCTACTTTGTATATACAATTACTGTAATGTTTGCCATTTTTTAAATTGAATTTAATTTCATTATGTTAATTTTCCGTTAAAGTATATCTAAATCGATATTATCTGAGTATTATTTTATTGTTTTATACAGAAAATTAGAAGATTTTATCGTTTTTAACATTTTTAAAATAAAAACAAAAAAAGAAGATTTGATCGTCTTTACCTTTTGTTGCGATATATGTATATTCTAAAAAAAGTTGTTATCAAAGTTAATATTCTCAAGATTTGGGATGGATTCAAAGGTAGAGGGGGGTGTTCACTTGAGATGGTATTGGTTGATCAAGAGGTTAGTCCTATAATTTATGAATATCTCGGTTAGCCAATTATTTGTTGGTTAATTTTTTTTTATTGTCCTTTGGATCTTAGGGTGATAGGATACAAGCAACTGTTGAAAGGTTTTTCGCTAAATCTTTTCGTAAAGATTTGATCGAGGGGAGATCGGTGCTTATCAACACTTTTAAGGTTGTTGAGTATAATTCTGAATATCGAACTACACAAACGCCTTTCAAGATAGTGTTCTATGCAACTACGACTGTCTCTGTATGATTGGATTTTCCTCAAGACGTTCCTGAGAAATATATGAAAAGTTTTCCAGATATTTTATCAACTGATTTGGACAATGGCTACTTGATCGGTAACATATCTAAACTGAGACGCATATTTTTAAAAATATTTTTATGACACGGTATTTTTTATGACACGGTAATTGTTTTGGTTCTTTCGTTTCTTCCTATATTATTACAAACGCTAAGACGTGGTCGGACAAATCGTAAGAGTTGGTCATGTTGAGGACGTTATGGCTCAAGGAAAACATCGTTCTAGACTTAAGATTTATCTTAGGGATGAGAGGTAACATACTTAGTTCTAATTTAATAATTTATTTTATTTTGTGTTATTTTTTAGTTATATGATTTAACTCATGATCATGTATTAATTATAACAGCGATCTACAATTACCATGTACTCTTTGGGCTGATTACGCAAAAGAAGTTGTTGATTATGTTAAACGTAATTGCGCATCCGTCGTTGTGGTTATTATAAGGCTTGCGTGTATCAAAAACTATCGAGGTATATTACTTAATGATTTATACTGATTCAATTTTAGTGACGATTATGAAGAGTTTTATCATAGATTATATATATTTCTGATACATTGATTTATTTACACTTTTTAGGTGAGATGAGCGTCTCAAATGCTTTTAATACAACTCAGATTTTGTTTGATGTTTGTCCTCTTGTGGTGAAATTCCGATCTGAGTAAGGATTTATTCAATGGAATTACAGTACGGTTTTATTTGTACATATGTTCGTTCTACTATAATTAGTTTCTGTATTTTTTCCGTTTAGGTTGCCTCAAGATAAGTATATTCTCATTCCTAACGAAGATGATTCGGGTTTAGATTCTAAAGATTCATTAAACAATGAATTTTTGGGAACTAATATTAGGCGAAAGTTAAGTTCTATACATTCGATCGATACGGTATGTGAATATGCGATACTCTATTATTTATGTTTATAAAAAAAATTTGTATATCGGTGGTTGTCGTTGATTGTTTCGAGTAAGCAGGTTGGTAAGTATGTGACATTGGCGACTATACGCTCGGTTGCCAATAGTAATTCGTGGTATTACATAGCATGCAAGAAGTGTGAAAAAAGGTTCATCCTATACCCGAGAGAGACCATGCTCCTTCGCCGCCGTCTTGGAAATGCATTAATTGCAATAGTAATGTTTATGAGTCTGAAGTTGTTGCTAGGTAGTCAATCTCTATTCTTTGAATTCGGCGTCCACATACTTTTCTAATCTTTACATCTTATATTTTTTTTTTTTATAAAATTAATTGTCTAATTATTCTTTTATAGTTTCTTTCTGTTGTTGAACGTGGATGATGGTTTTGGAGGGACGGCAGTCTTTGTCGTGTTTGACAAAATTGCTCAAAAATTGTTTTAGAAGACTGCCGAGGAAGTTTTCGAAGAGTCTGTTGGGGTACACTTATCGTTTTATTTGATAAGCGTTATGATTATATACCTTAATTAAAATATTTTTGTAATATATTTTGTAGGATAATTCGTCTGGACTGCCTCAATCACTGCGTGATCTAGAAGGAAAAGAGTTACTTTTTAAGGTTGTTGTAA